GATACTGGTGTGTTTTCATGTTAAAGGTGCATATTAGATTTGCTTGGCTAGTTTTTGCTAGAGAATTTTGCATCAATATTCATTAAGGAACTTTTTAAAGAACCAAATCTTTACTTTTTTCTATTGAATTTCTATTTTCTATTTAACTTATTTCTGCTTTAATTTTTATTATTTATTTATTTATTTCTGCTTGCTCAGGTTTAGTTTCTTCTCCATTTTCCTAGTTCCTTGTGGTGTAAAGTTCGGTTGTGATTTGAGATTTTTTGTTACATAGTTTTGATGTGTGTATTACACATGTAAACTTTCCTCTTAGCACTGTTTTTTATGGATCCCTCAAGTTTGGGTATACATTGTTTTCATTTTAATTTCTCTCAAGGTGCTTTCTATTGTGACTTCTTTGACTCATTTATTGTTTAATATTGTATTTTTAAATTCTCACAGATTTGTGGATAGTCAGGTTTTTCTTCTTTAAGTAATTTCTAATTGCATTTCATACAGACTGGAGAAAATCCTTGGCATAATTTCAATTATTTTAAAAATTGTTAAGACTTTTTTTGTGGCATAAAAGGTGGTCTGTGCTGGAGAATGTTCCATATGGGCATGAAAAAAAATTATGTATCCTGCTATTGCTCTATAGAATGTTGTGTATATATCTGTTATATCCATTTGGCCTGTCCTGTTATTCAAGTCCTATATTTACTTGTTTACCTTCCATCTGGTTATATCAGTTACTAAAAGTGGAGGATTGAAATCTCCTGCCATTATTTTGTTGCTATTTAGTTCTTCCTTAAGTTTTTGTCAACTTTTCATCATATATCTAGGAGTTCCAATATTTGGTACATAAATATTTATAATTGTACTTTCTTGGTGAATTGACATAGAATAGATACAAATATATTCCTTCTTTGTCTCTTTTAATGCTTTCAACTTTTTGACTTGCAGTCAGTATAGCCACCCTCACTTTCTTTTGGTCACTATTTTCAGGGAATATTTCTTTCCAATCCTTCCCTTTTAAGCAATTTGTGGTTTTGTTTGTTTGTTTGTTTGTTTATTTCATCATATTATGGGGGTATGTTTGTTTATTTCATCATATTGTGGGGGTATAACCTTAACCTTATAATGTAACCTTAACAAGGTTACATATATTGCCCCTGCCTCCCTTGCCCCTTGAGCCACAGCTTCAAACGTGTCTATCCCCCAGGTGGTGTGCATCGCACTCATTGAACTCTTTATTTAAGTATATACCCATCTCCTCTTCCCCCTCCCACCTGCTTTTATAAGTAAAGTGATTCTCTTGTAGTTAGCATATATTTGATGCTGGTTTTTGATTTTTTTTTTTTTTATCCATTTAGCCAACTTGTGCATTTATTCAGAAAGTTTAATCCATTTATATTTGATATAATTAGGGCTAGGGAAAAACTTACTATTGCTATTTCGTTAATTGTTTTCTGTATATCCTGTATATTTATTCCTCCTTTCCTCTCTTGCAGCCTTCTGTGTTGCATTGATGTTTCATGGTCACATATTTTGATGTGCTTATCTTTTTCTTGTGTATATATTCTATAGATTTTGGTGTGTATGGTTACCATTGCAATGACATAGAGTATCTTAAAGTTATAACAGTCTATTTTAGATGCATAACAACTTCACTTGCATACAGAGACTCTTACTCTTTATAGCTGTACCCCAAGTATTATGTTATCTATGTTACAAAATAAATGTTTTATATTGAACACTCAGTGTATAACATTTTAGGATTTTTATTTTTTATTCATTTTATGTTTTTTATTTTTTAGAACTTTCAGACAGCCTAAGTATTTCCTTTTCTTTTTTAAACATTCTATACAAGATTTAAAAGTGAATTAATGCATCAAAATTATGATACTTTGTTCACATACTTACAGTTATCAGAGAACTTTATAATTTTCATATGACTTTGTATTGCTACATAGTGTTCTTTCTTTTCAATTTGAAAGACTCTGTTAGAATTTCATGTTGATGAAGTCTACTGGTCCTGAACACCTACAGGTGGCATTGATCTGAAAAATTCTTAATTTCTTTATCAATTTTGAATGACAGATTTCCTTTGCTACATACAGAATTCTTGATTGTTTATTTATTTCAATACTTTGAATATATCACCCCATTCCTTTCTTTCTGCAAGGTTTCTTCTGAAATATCCACCGATAGTCCTATGAGAGCTCTCTTACATGTGACAAGTTACTTTTTCCTTGATGCTTTTAAATTTCTCTCATTGTCTTTGACTTATGACAGTTTGATTGTACTATGTGTCCATGAGGGCCTATTGGGTTTTATCCTCATTAAAGTTCATTGAATTTCTTGATTCAATTTGTCCATTTCCTTTTTTATATCTCCAAAGTTTTTGGCCATTATGTTCTCAAGTCTATGCCCTTTGCTCTCTCTCTTCACCTTCCAGGACTCCCATTATGCATATATTGCTCTGCTTAATGGTGACCCATAAGACCATACGCTCTCTTCATTTATTTCATTATTTATTCCTTCCAACATGACGGTTTCAAGTTATCTGTCTTCAGGTTCACTAATTTCATCTTATGCCAGATCAAATGTGCTTTAGGATTCCTCTAGTGAATTTTTCAGTCATTTATTGAATTTTTTAGCTACAGAATTTCTTTGATTTTTTTTTCAGTTTCTATCTCCTTGTTGATATTTATACATGGAATTTATTCCAGATGTATAAAGTTAGTTTATACTATGGAAATCAAAGAATATAATCCATTATATTAATAGACGAACAATTATATGATTCTATTAGTAGATGCAGAACACAAAATCCAAGCTTATTCGTTATAAAACCTCCTAGCAAACTTGGAATATAATGAAAATTCTTCAACTTGATAAAGAACATCTACAAAAAATAAACAGTTAACACCATGCATATTTTGAGAAAATAATGCCTTATTGCTAAGATCAGGAATGAGGCAAGAATGTAGCTCACTATTCCTATTCAACATATTACTGGAGTCCAAAACACTGACAACACCAAATTGTGAGGATTTGGAGCAACAGAAATGCTTACTCATTGTTGACGAGATTACAAAATGGTACAGCCACTTTGGATGCATGTTTGGCAATTTCTTATGCTACTCAATTTACGTTTGCCCTGTGATATGGCAGTCATCCTTCTTGATATTTACCTAAATGAATTGAAAACTTATATCCACACAAAAACATGCATGTAAATGTTTCTAGTGGCCTTTTTTTATAATTGCTACAGATTAGAAATAACTAAGATGTCCTTTAATAAGTGAGTGGATAAGCAAACTAGTACATCCATACGAGGGAATATTATCCAGTGATTTAAATAATGAACTATTAAGCCACAATAAGACATGAAGAAAACCCAAATGTATACTTCTAGGTGAAAGAAGTCAATATGAAAAACTACATACTGTACTCATATTATTTTAACTACATGGTGTTCAGAAATGGGAAAAACTATAGAGATGGTAAAATGATCATTGGTTTTTGAGGGCATGTAGAAATGTTACAAAGTATTATACTATTATGCTTTTAGAAAAAAATTAATTTCACTTTTCTCAAACTACGTCTGAAGTCAAAACTGACTGCCATTTCAATTTTTCAGAAAATGTATGTTTTTCCCAAGTGTTCACTTGAGAAATAATATAGTTACTAAAATAATGATTCTACTTCTCAAAATGTTTTCTCAAGCTCATTGGAATTTAATTTAATGGTGTGTTAAGATGTAAAACATATATTCAATTAATCTGATTTTATTATATGTCCATGCCATTTAGATCAAAATATTATTGCTTAAAAAGAATAACACCTTTTACCTGTTGTTTTAAAAAATGCTTATTTCTAAGAAAATGACTAGCTTTGGTATAGCAATTTTTAAAATTTTCATTTTCATTTTAGGTAGTAAAGCCAAAAGTGGTTGACAAGATCATAAGGGTGAAGAAATAATCTAGGCAATAATTCTATTTTGTGTGCTTGTTTTTTCTATTTAGTATTCAAAGAGAATAACCTTAGAGGCCTTTTCAGTGGTTCTGGTACAGTTGCTTGGAATTAATCTGGGATTAACATATGATAACATCTACAATTGTTACTGTCAAGGAGCTACATGCATAATGAGTCCGGAAGCAATGTAAGATGTAGTTTTTATCAAATCTTCTCTTCCTACAGATTTGTCTTATTCCTTGATGTATAATTTCTTGCAGTATAATGAGTAAAAATATTTTATTGGCTACAAATATGATTACTTAAAACATTAAAGTGTATGAGTGTGGAATGTTGCAGAGAATGAACTATATTGTACTATACTCAATATTATTAGATAGAGAGAAAGTGGATACTAATAACTTTATAAGGTTTACAGAAGTCTTGGATTTGTTGAAAAACTTCTCAGTGTCAGCAAGTGAAACGATACCTGTGTAGCAAGAAGTCTGAAAAGCTCAACAGACCTAGAAAAAGATTTGTAGGTGGGGGGGGGCAACAAATTTAGAAATGTAAGAAAAAATTGGGACTAAAAAGATTATTTTGGGCATAGGAAAAAGAAAATAAAATGCAATAGGCTTAAAAGCCATTAGTAAGGGAAAGAAAGTAATATAGAAAATGTAAGAATGATCATGATCATGCATTCATGATGTGAGGGCTTGGATTATATAATAAATGTTATCAATACAAAAACATTTTAATAAACTTACAAAGTATGGGTAATAAAAATTTATCTTGTGAAATGAATCAGAGGGATCTACAATATACTAATATTTGAGAGATGATTTTCATACTAATCTACGTAAGTTCATTAAGATTGAGAAAGAGGATGTCAAGAATTATTCATATGTTTTTGGAAATCACAAGTTAATAACAAATATTGAAAAAAGGACAATATTTTAGGAAAGTAGAAAAATAGGGGGAAATCTTGAAGATAGATTGTAAGCATTAAATCAGAGATATTCTGAGTAATGGATTGGAGTTAAGGGAGAGTTAGTTATATAGGTCTCAGCCTCAGAGGACTAGAGATCTAAAATGTGCAAGCCATCAGCATGTGGATGGGAAATAAAAATGTCGAACAGTTAACTTTGCAAGTACTTATATTGGGTGAAAAGAGGTGGCTTAAGATAATGTTTGGAGTCATCCTAATATGTTCTTGTGTCCTTGGTCTCTGTCCTAAAAAATCTGCAAACAATGAGCACATGTGTCACCCAGATCATGTTTTTAAAATACTCTTTTTTAATAAAATGAACAGGGAAACCTTGGAGAAATGATTGATTCCAGGCTAAGGCAGAGAAAATACAAATGAGCCTGGAACATCTTGTGTAAGAAAATAAGAGAAGTTCAGAGAAGTATGGACAGAATTTGTGGAAGGGACATAAAAGCTGGCTTGAAGGGATTTTCACTTGCCAAATCTGGGACATTTTGAATGCCAAAAGTAATAATGGTAGTAATGGATTATAACCCACTAAGCAAAATAAAAAATATGACTTCATATTAATATAAATACATGAATATATAGATTGGAAGTGTAATTAAGGAATAGAATATTTACATAAAACCAAAGTACTTCTCTCTATGCAATTATTAAATGATAAAAAATAAGTAATTTAACAATGAAGACTTGTGGACACACCTTAATCAACTGATACGTTTTTATCAGTAATATGACATATTGAATCAGTAATATGACATATTGAAATTGTGTGCCACGTTTCAAGTTGCAATGAGACAAACATAGCTATGATCTTGTGATGATGCTGCCAAAATACATAAACTAAATCTAACCATAAGGAAGTATTTCATAAACCTGAATTCAGGGACATTCTACAAGATAATTGGCCTATAATTATAGAACTTTTCATGGTCATTAAAGCTAACAAAAATTTGGGCAACTAAACTAAGAAGACATGAGAACTAAATGCAATAATGCTTGATACTGAACTGAATCTTTTTGCTATCAAATGCCAGGATTGTGATAATTTGAATAGAGTCTGAGGATTAGATACTAGTAATATATGATTTTTTTCCTGCTTTTGAAGAAGAAAGAGTGCTTATGTAGAATAATTTATTTCTATGGAAAATTTACATGTTAAAGTATTTACAGTTATCATTATATTATGTTACCATTTTACCCTTAACTTTTCAGGCAGCAAAACTTACTTTTGCACTATATTTGTGTCATTTTTAAAAATTCGAGATCATTTCAAAATTACACAAAAACTCATTAAACAGTACTTTCTTAAAAGTAAAGAAATACAAAAAGTTAAAAGTTAAAAAAGGGAATCTAGAGCTTTTACACTTTATATACTTCAATGTTGAAATAATTTATTTGGTAAATTCTGTTAACAAAGAATAATCATGACTTTTCATTAACACAATCATCTCCTTGAAGTTTTCCACATAAATGTTATACTATGTTCTATTTTCTTAATGATTATTGGAGCTTGTTATAATAATGATAACATTGACAGTATAATATTATACTGGAATGAGGCTTATTGTGCCCCAAATGTTAAGTATTTTGCCACTTTACACTGTCTCTACTTTCTAGATGTCTATTGTATCAAATTACAATAGAAATAGACTTATTTCTTTTCTTTATAACATATATTAAAAGTAAAATCACTCTGCACTCCTTTGGCTCTTCTCTAAGTGAAGTAGGTCAGAATTCATAGCATTTTATTTAAGAGTGTTACTTTGATACTTTTATTCCATTTATCTGAGGAATATAATTTAATTTTAGACTATTGCATGGTGTAAAGCTTTTTAGCAGTTGCAGCATGGATGAATTTAAACAGATAATTTCGCAGTCTGAACTTGAGTGTCTTCAGAATGAAACAATTTCAAGAGTGATTTCCCCAAAACAAAGTGCAACTTGTGGCAATTCAGTTGTGGAATCAGGAGAGGAATGTGATTGTGGCACAGAAGAGGTGAGTGAGAAACTTTGTAGTTAATTCACAGATGTGTTTTTTGTTTGTTGTGTTTTGTTTTATGTCTATTTGTTTCTCATGGAGTCTATAGATACAGATATGATATAAAAGGAGAGGACTTTTTAAAAATGCTGCACCATTTTATCAAATATTTAAGATGGAGAGATGTGGCCATGTGATAACAACTCAGCCTGAATTTAAAACATTTGTAGAGTTCAACACCTGGATAAGAGTGTCAGACATTAAAGAAAGAGATTTTTTCATCATCTAACCATTAATAGTGATATCACTTTTTACTACCATATGTATCAGTAGCATTAATAATATAACCATCATCCTAATCTCTTGAATTCTTCAAAAGTGATTGCATTGGTTCATTAAGTTATTTAATGTGTGTTGTCATTTATTTCCTTATCTCCTAATTTCAGTCTTTGCCTCTGTGGTTCAAGGCATCATTTATTTTCACTTGCTTCTAAACAATTAGATTAATCATAATCCTTGGTTCATTATCATTCATGATAATACACGTGACTCAAGAATGATACGTGCATGGCCCAACTCTTTGTAATTCCTCACACTTTCTTCTCTCCTAGAATTAAATCTTAACTAGAATTTTTCATTTAATAATAATTTCATAATTTTATCATAATTTTTATTAGCTTTCAATTTTAGAACATTTAAAAAATGTAACATAATTTTATTAGACTAAGTTTCCATCCCCTATACGACTGATAATATCCATGTTATTTTGTGTAAGTGTAGCTCATGTATTCACTTTTTTGTGTTGTAATCCATTATGTATATACAATTACTGATCTTTACTATTTATGGCCACTTAGAGTGTTCGTAGGCTTTTTTCTCTCCTTCTAAAGAGTTTTGTTATGTTTTGCACTTAAATCCCGATGTACACAAATGTCTCTTGTCTATAAGCATTGTGTGCGTACACATCATCTATATCTAGATGCCACATCTAGATAAGGCATTTCTGGATTATCAAGTAGGTGAATAATGCCTGAATAATGGCCAGTTTTTTTCAAAAATAGTTGTGCTAATTTACACTTCTGATGGTTTTGTTTATTTCATACTCTATTTAGCATGTGGCATTGGCATACTGTAATTTTTGCCGATTGTATATGTACAGAATGATATCTCATTGTGCTTTCAATTGGACTTTCCTCAGTTACTACTAAAATTAATTATATCTTCATAGTTTTACTAGCCATCTAAGTTTTCTTTGCTGTGAAATGTTTGTGTACTTGATTTGTACTTCCATCTATTACGTATTTGCTTTTCCTTTGCATTCTTTATATATCCCTTATGCTGATCATTAATATGCTAAATGTCTTCCATATCTTCACACTTTCTTCAATATAATTTCTGTTATAAACAATATTTTTATTTAAAAATTAATGCACTTTCATAGAAAAATCTGTTTATTATGTCAGTGTTATGTCTTTGTATAACTGGCGAAAGCTTTTCTCTTTCCTTCATGAAGTTCTTTTCTTTTTTTAGTCTTCTCTCTGTGCTTCGATATAGATATATTTGATTGTTATAAATCAAAAACCACTAAATTTTCTTTTGTTAAGAGAGCTAGTGAATTTTTCATTCAAATATTTTCTATCCTTAAAATTTCCATTTAGTCCTTTTTTAAAAACATATCCATTTGCTGAAAGAATAATTTGACAAATTAAATATAGCAGTTTATTAGAGCAAAGTGTGATTTGTAAATTGACCAACACGCAGAACCAGGAGAGGTTTGTCTTGAAACTGCTCTGTGGGAGACCATAAACCACAGTTGGCCATTCCTCCTCCAAGCAGACCTGCATTCCTGACCCAAAGAAAACATAAAATAATAAATGACTCTTGGTGTTTTAAGCCACTAAATATTTGCTGTGCAGCAACAGACAGCACATATGTGTTGCTCAGTATGTCACAAATATGTTCACATATGTGTTTCTCTAAAAATATTTTATATCTTTTTTCTCATTTACATTTAGCTATGCAATCAATCTGTAATTTATTTTTGTATATATATATATATATATAAGGATATCAAATATTCACAATAATTCATAGTGTGTCCTTCCCTTATTACACTGAATCATAATTTTTGTTATCTAGTGAACATTTGTGAATTTTTCTGTTTTGCCTCGTCTTGTACCAATATTGATGATCTTCATAAGTATACATTTCCACATTTCCATCAATTTGTGGGCTAAGGTATTCTATATTACCCAGCACTGCTTTTCTAGTTCATGGCTGTCTTGAGTATTTTTGGCCCTTTGCATTTTATTGTAAATTTCCAATTTGTCTTTTTGGTATCTACCACAAAAGAAGACTGATTTCCTGAAAGACATTGCATTGAATCTTAAGATAAATTTGAGGTTAGATAAATTAGAAGTGTACATCTCCATTTATTTATATCTAACTTTTTTCTGAGCAGTATCTTTTAATGTTCAGTGTAAAGATCTTGCACTGATATATTTTTAAATTTTTATTGCTATGTTTTCGATACTTTGATTCTACTATAAATCATATCATTTAAAAAATTTTCCCTTTGTTGATAGGATATAAAAATACTCCAGATTTTTATATTTTCATCTTGAATTTCTCAGCCTTGCTGACTTCTGTTACACTAACCAGTGCTATCAATAATAATATAATGTTAAGCACAGTGGTATTTTACATTTTATAGCACCAACATTTTATAAAGGTAAAAGAAACAGGTGAAATTAATGTAAATAATATAGTTTTGCTTAATATATGCAATTTAGTGTTATTTTAGCATGTATTCTATATATAAAATTATTTGTGTAATTTTGCTGTTTTTAATATCTATATGTGTTAATATCTAGATTGACGTGACAATGATATTTAAAGATATGTGCACATACACATACAGATATACATTTATCATATATTGAGAGAGAGAGAAAGACAAAGATTATAGGAATTAGCTCACACATTTGCAGGGCCTTTGTCATGGAGGTGAACACATATGCAGCAGGCCTAGGAGTCAGACAAACTGAAGCAAGATTCAGGAGGAAAAGAGACCAATTGCAGGCCCAACTGCTCCTTCCCTCCAAGGGATGAGTCAGCAGATCCGCACCTTGGAGTTAATGCAGTGGAGAGTTTTGACTCTGTGGATGTTGGGGTGGAATGCACGTACTTTGCATATGAGATGGACATGAATCACTGGGGACCAGATAGTAAAATGTGGTCGATGGAATAATCCCCAAAGTTACCCATGTCCTACTTATCATAACACCTTTTATTATTTTTTTTTTCAGAATTCTGGTGTATTTATTCAACAGTGAGAAAGTAGTTTATTCTTTCTTAAACAACAACTTTGTTCTCAAAAGCTGTCCCACCTTCATGCTGGTTCTTATTTTTTTAATTTCTCAAAATTTTATATTTATTTTTTAAATTTCAGAGCATTATGGGGTAAAAACATTTTTGGGATACATATAATGCCTTTGTCTTGTCCAGCCCAGAGCTACAAGTGTGCCCTTCCTCCATACAGTGCATATTGTTATTTTTTTTTTAATTTTTTTTTCTTTTACATGAATTAAAATGTTCTAATATATTGTTATTTTTTAATAAAAGGGTTATACGTTAGTCTAAAATTAATTTCCATGTCCTTCTAACTAATTTAGGATTAATACATCCTTTCGCATATCAAATGAAAGTGAATAAGAGACTGCAGTTTTGAGGGTTGACTTTTTTTTTCTTCCTCTGCCCAAGCTGAGCTGCTGGGCTCATATGCTTCTCTTGCTTCTGCCTCTGGGGTGGCTGGGACTAGAGGCACGAGTGACCGTGCCCAGCCCCATAACTTCTGAGGATGTTGTCTGATGTGGCAAAAGGGACTTTAAATGTGTGACCAAGTAAAATACTTTGAGAGAAAATGATTATTCTTTGTTATCCAGGTGGGCCCAGTGTAATCCTAAGGGTTCTTACTAGCCTGATGCAAAAGGGTCAGAGTTAGAGGAGATGTGACAATGATATTTAAAGATTCTGTACTGCTGGATTTAAAGATGGAGAAAGGGTCCATGAGCCAGGGAGTGCAGGTGGTCTCTCGAAGCTGGAAAGGCAGGGGAACAGATTCTCTCTAGACCCTTCAAAGGAATGCAAAACTTCCAATACATGATTGTAGTGTAGTAAGTCTCTTGTCTAGAACTATAAAAAATACATTTAGTGGTTGTAAGCCACTAACTTTGTGGTAATTTGTTACCGCAGAAATAGAAAATGACTGAGTTGACTCTTGGTCCCTGGAGGTTAACAAACTCCTTTAACAGATTTAAATGTTTCCTGCCAAGCAGGCTGCAGTTTTTCTGAGGAGAATAACAATTTGAGTATCGTAGAAGCCTACATTCAATACATTGGCCTACTTTGGTTAAACTTATTTCTGCCAAGACTTTTGTGGCTATTTCAGCAGCAACATTTTGGTGATATGAAGTCAAGGTCCAATTCTTATTAAATTGAAGATAGGGATTGTTAATGGGAGGGGAATTTAAGTACCAGAAGAGACAGGTGGGAATCTATCTTCTGAAGTATTGAAAGTAACAGCTAATGGTTTTGTCAGGAGGGTAGCGAGATGGCAGATCCAGGAAGCCATACAATTCAGAGCAATAGCTATGGGCTTGAGACAAGTACACAGGAGAGTTTTATTCTTCCTTAGGCAATAGCAGAGACCTCCAAATCTGATAAAATGTGGCTAGAGGAAATCACATCAGTGTTCGGAACTTTATCTTGGGTAGAAGCTGTCTACCTCTAATGTTACCAGGTCTCAGGTTGAGGTTTCCTGATAGAATGAGTATTCAGTGCACAGAGTAAGGGTAGTGGGGATAGTCTGAGACAAGATGATCATTCAGAGTTGACAGGGCTGGGCCAACTGTCCTGTAAGTGAGAGCAAAGAGTTTTAATTTTCTCACCTTCTACTCTTGACCTCCTAGAGTCTAAGGTTTACCTTCTTCACCTGCCATGGTTGCTCTTGTCCCATGGCCGTGTGATCAGCATGAATAGTGTTTGTAGCAATCTCTTTACCCTTTTCTGTCCTTCATTACATCAAACTAAACCAAAAGCTAGGTTCATCCCTATGTAGTTTGACAGTTTAATTCTTGTATGTCTTGTGCCATCTCAGAATATCTCCCATCTACTGATGCATGCGTGGGCCTAAAGTCTCATCTATGAGCCTGTAAAGTCAAAGCAAATTATCTACTTATGAGCATAGGTAAATATTCCCATTTTAAATGGGAGAAATAAGCAAGAAGAAAGGGATAACAGGCTGCAAGCAAGTCTGAAACCCAAGAGAGCTAACATGAGGTATTCAGACTCCCGAATAATCTGCTTTGACTGCATGTCCAGTGTCTTTTACACACAGGTGCACGCGTGGGTCCAAGGCCTTGGGCAGCCCCACCCCATGGTTTGGCTGGGCTCAATTCATCCAGCTCTCCCAGGCTGGCATTGCATGCTGGTGGCTTTACAATTATGGGCTCTCAGTGGTGGTGCCACTCTCACAGTCCCACTAGGCTTTGCTCTAGTGGGGACTCTCTCTGGTGGCTTCTCCCCTGCAACAAGTCTGTACCTGGGCCTCCAGGCTTTTCATCCTTTGAAATATGAGTGGACGCGACCAAGCCTCTACAGTTCTTGCTTTCTGCAAGCCTGCAGAATTAGAGCCATGTGGATGCTGCCAAGGTTTATGACTTGCACCTTCTGGCGGGAGCTGTACCTGAGGCTGCTAGAGCAAAGCTTGGGAGCACTGTGCTGGAATGCTGGGAGCAGTGTCCTGAGGCAACCTTGGTCAGTGAGCCCATGAAGAGCACTCCAGTGTGTCTTCTGAAACCATTCTGCCCTCCTAGGCTTCTGGGCCTGCGATGGGAGGCAAAGCCTCTGATATCTCTAAAATGCTTTTGGGTCTTCCAACTTCTTGAGGAATAGCACCTGGCTTCCTTCTGTCTGTGGTAGTCTCTTAAACAAGTTTCTGGGTACATCCTTGGTGTCCTTTCCTGAAAATGCTCTTTCATTCTCTACTACATGGCTAGGCTATGAATTTTCCAAATTTTTTCCACTGTTTCCCTTTTCTCTAGCAGTTCACCACAAGCAGTTAGAAGTAAACACACAGAAACCTGAGCATTTTGCTGCTTAGAAATTTCTTCTGCCAGACACCCTAGTTCATCACTCTCAAGTTAACTCTTCCACAAAGCCTCCAGGCATGGTCACAGGTCAGCCAAGTCATTGGCTGGTTTATAACAAGGATATCCTTTACCATAGTTTCCAATACCTTTCCCTCCGTTACATCTGAAACCTCGTGAGAATAGACTTTACTGCCGTATTTCTGCCAGCATTCCAGTCTTAACTACTTAACTAATCTCTAAGGAGTACCACACTTTCCCCAGTATTTTTCTATTCCAAGCCCTCACCGGAATCTAGCCCTCTATCCTGCTTCTCCCAACTCTCCCAGCCACTACCCATTACCCAGTTTCAAAGCCACTTCCACATTCTTAGGCATTTGTTATCAGCAACACCCCACTTTTCAATAGTAATTTCTTGTCTTGAATTATTTTGCTGATTTTGTGAATTACCTATCAGTATTTTTTTGAATCCTGATGAATTACCTTTATATCAATACTTTTTCAGACATTTCATGGATTTGGGAGGAACACTGTTACTGGAGAATGATTGTGTTTATTTTGGGGTGTCATGTATCTTCGCTTTTTCATGTTTCTATTTTTCCTATGTTGATATCTGCACATCCGGTGGAACAATCACCTTTTCCAATTTTATAGAATAGTTTTCACAGCGAAAAACCTTTTCCTGTAGGTGTGTCCTTCAGTGTCAGCTGGGCAGGGTGATTTATCTTTGGTTCTGGTTGGGCACCATGGTGTAGTCTCTGTTTGATTTCTTTGGTTGTCTTGAGTGCCTCGGTGGTCCACATTGTCAGTGTTTTTGAATGCATTGGTGTGGATATTTTTAAGCTGAAGCCCCCAAACTGAGCTAGTAATCAGGCCCTTTGGGAGGGCAGGCACTGGGTATAGTGGTCTTGCTTTGTGGTCATGGAGGCAGCATTGCCGGGGGCACTTGCCAGGCAGTCTAGTCCTTGGTTTTTAGGGGCATACATGGTGCATGGAAGTTCCAGTGGTCAAAGGGATGAAATTGCCAGTATGCCGGGTGCCATGCAGCCAGCTCTGAGGCCCTGGAGAGAACGAAGTTGGCTCTCTTGGGCTTGGAGGCTATATCCTGAATGTGCTAGACTGCCTTTTGCCTGGAGTACAGAGTGCTGCATAAGCTTGGGGGGGCAGGATTATGACTGTTCCACTGGGTCGAAGTGGGGTCATGTTGTTGCAGCCTTTCCTGCAGACATGGCGGGATGGCGGCTAGGCCCAAGGGTTGTGGGGATGCAGGGGCTACTGGGTACCAGAACTTGGTACACAGTGGTGGGGACTCTGTTTTCAAAATGGTCTTATGCCATAGCAGCTGTGTGTGAGGGAGAGTGAGGGATCCAGCATGGGTTTCCTCTCTAGAACAGTACAACCTCATGGACTCCAGGCATCTCCTTATACTGGGCTCGGGGGACTGTGAGAACCGCGGGGCTCTTCTGTGCCTGGGAATCCAGGTGCTTGTGGTGGTCACGTGAACTTCTGGGGGTCCATTTGCTCTCTTGCTCACCTTTTCCCCATGATATGGATTCCCTGTTTTCCCTGAGCCCACCCAGCCAGGTGTTTTACATCGCTCTGTTCTGCTACCCTAATGCGGTCATTTACTTGTTATTTTTGTTCTTTGTGGACCAGGTCGGCATGGAACCCCTCTTTTCAGTCTCCTTGATTGAAAATTTTTTCTTTGAAATCTCATTTATAATAATAAACTGTTGGTACTATTAAGAAACCTCTATTTTTTTCATATTCATACATTGTTATTTATTCCCCAAATGATGCCTTAGTAAGACTCAATTTATATGAAAAAAATCTATAACATAATAAATAAAAATATACAAATTTGCAGTACATGTTTTTATAAACAAAAATAGGACTGAAATTGCATTAAATTTTTAATAGGTCAAATTCTTCAGCATGAAATTGTGAGTAATTTCATTATCATCACCTTTTTTTCCTATAGGAAAAATATCTGAAGTTTAAATAAAGTGTTATAAAATAAATAAAAAAATCAAAAGTCGTGCTGTGATTGTAATTAAGATAGAAACATACTCAGTACATTTTGAAAGGAAATAAAATTGTTCATTTGATTAAAAGTGCTTAATATTATTATATTTGCTTTTAGAAATGTGCCCATAAAAAATGCTGTAATCCTAAACTTTGCACTCTAAAGAAAAATGCAGAGTGTGGCTCTGGGCCATGCTGTAATGTAAACACTTGCAAGGTAAGATTTCAAAATATTACATTATTTTTGTAAATAAATGTTTGTTGTCTTTTTCATTTTCATCTTTCAAATATTTTTCTTTATATATTATCTGTGGTCAGCTTTTAGTTTGGGGCCTACTTCCTAATAGCATATGAACATTTATTTTATATCTCAAATATTTTGTAGAGCATGGTTTCAGAGGATATCTGTATCGTTACAGCCCAGCCAGGTGCCCTGCCCACCGCCCGGGTAAAGGCCAGTATACTGAGACAGCAGGGATTGCAGTGGAGAAAGAGTGTTATTTTGCAATGCGCCCAGCGAGAAGATGGGAGTGATTTCTCAAATCCGTGTCCTTGAGAATTTGAGGGCTAAGATTTTTTAGAGGTGGTTTGGCAAACAAAAGGCTAGAGAATTGTGTCTGCTGATTGGCTAAGGATGAACTTGTACTTTGGGAAGCGGAAATCACTTCTCAGTTGGACATTTCCTAGATAGCGGTCTCCAGGTTTGTGGGATCCATTCTCAGCCTGTCCACGGGTCCCTGCACGGTGGTGGGGACCCTGTTCTCAAAATGGTGTTATGCCCTAGCAGCTGTGTGTGAGGGAGAGTGAGGGATCCAGCATGGGTTTCCTCTCTAGAGCAGTGCGACCTCCTGGACTCCAGGCATCCTCCTAAACTGGGCTCGGGGCTGTGAGAACCGTGGGGCTCTTCTGTGCCTGGGAATCCAGGTGCTTGTGGTGGTCACCTGAACTTCTGGGGGTCCATTTGCTATCTTGCTTACCTTTCCATGGTCTGACTGACATCAGTGTGTCCCCTCAAGTGCAGAGTCTAAAAAATACCTCAAAGACCAGTCTCAGGCCTTACAATAACAATGCCATCTATAGAAGCAGTTGGGGATGTCACACATCATGCACCCATCAGGAAGAAGACATGCCATTATTCACTGAGCTGTTGCAGCAGTGAGGAGCTTTGGGGACAATGGTGGGTTAACTTCTGGATCTATCTATACTTTTACAGAAATCATGGATTACCTCATGGATTTTCATTATTTTAATATAGGAAGTTTCATTGTTCCCTAAAGGTTTAGGTATTAAACCTATATTCTATTATTTATACTATTGTATTTGTTTTCAAGTTGATTACCTATTGTGTTGGTAAGTAAGAGAAATCGAATTCAAATATAGTTGATTTCAAGATTCATGGGATATCCTTAGGTCTCTTTCAACCTTCTTATGTCTGCTTTTCACTGTGTGGTTTTAATCACTTTTGGAGACCCATCTGGTTTTTACATTCAATAGCAATTCCAAATTATTTGGGTGGTATGAATTACTTTTGTAATGACAGAATGTAGCTATTTAAGGTTTAAATAACTTATAAAATATTATAACAAGAAACCACACACATTTGGCATGCAATGTTTGATAAAGAGACAAAACTATTTAAAATTCTCATTTTGAATATATTATAAGAAGGGATCAATATTCATCAATATATAGCATGTCAAATACTGATGTGTAGCTTTGACAAGGTGCTCTTTTCTACTCTATGGACTAATAATTAAAGCCAGTGATCGTTTGTTTTCAAGTTGCAGGAATGTAAAGGCCACTGTAGGGTTAGTACTTCATAGCAGTAGACCTGCTGCATTTCCCTTAACCAGAGCTCTGGTTTTGGCTTTTGTCTCTAAACACTGGATTGAGTATTAAGAATTTTCTAAACAATCCACTGCCCTTTGTCTACATCCTAAAGGGTAGTTTGTTAAACAGAGATAATGCTTTGTTTAGTATAATTAAAATCACAGAACAAGTTGCCAGGGAGAGCCTAAGAGATCATAGCTAAATTGTACTATGTTAGTTCACATTAATTTTCTCATGAATTATGGCATAGAATTTGACTTTTGTTGTCATTCAAAGACTCACAAGTGTCTTATACTCTGCTCTCATTTTTATTTACGTGAGTGTAAAAGGTTCCAATTTTCTTTTTGGTCTACTTTCAAATCAACCAATTTCTACCAAAGCTTGTCTAAAATTTAGAGATTTGATTCAATTATTTTTCTTATACATATTCGCTTCGGTAGGCACAACTCCAAGTGCAAGTACACAAAACACAGTTTAATCAGCTGTTTTGCTAACCCTTAAAGTGATTAACATGTTTCTAACCATTACTTAGATATTCCATCGGTAATTTGGAAAAAAAACACAAACAAAAACTTCAATTTGAATGACATAATACCAGTGTGTATCCATCAGTTGTAACTTGATGATGAGCAGCCAGCAAAGAAAAGCAAACACAGACTTAAGAAGCTTAAGGTGAAGATTAATCTGGCTTCATGTTTAGTTACATCTTTGTTTCAAAGAGTCTCTACAGAATTTCTATTGTATGTATTTCTTAGATATCTTTGCTTTTTAGCTGATGATTCTCAATATGTGATATATACAAGTCATCGTGGCTCCTTAGCTTTTGTAGTACATAGTGTACAATATTTCAGAAGAGTAGAGAGATTCATTTTTACACTTTACCTTCATTCTTTGCAGTGGAGGAAAATTTTACTGAGAGTGAAATAGATACATATTTGATTTTCTTTGTCTCACAGATATATGAAAAAGGACATTTATGTAGGGAAAAAAGAGATCTGTGTGATTTACAAGAATATTGCAATGGAACATCTGAGTTTTGTGTAATTGATCGCCATGCTGCTGATTGGGAACACTGTAATGACAACACCGCCTATTGCTATAAAGGAATATGCCAAGATGCAGATATACAGTGTACAAAGTTATTTGGAAAATGTAATAGTTTTACCTTTCCTCTGGGCTTCATTTTTAAGTTGTAGTTATTCTAAAGTCAGTAATCCACCCTATAGCCATACTAAAAAATGTCATCTTTTATGTTCAAATTTGGAAAAAAATTGCAAACCAAAGCAGCTTTGAATGTTGTCAAAAGGTAACATGGGTCTAATAAGGAAAAGATACAAATAATAGGACATCAGAGAAATCACAGGTGTTTGATGGAAAGAGAATAGATTATTTGAATAGTGGATAACAGAGTAAATTACTTTTTTTTTTTTTTACTTTTTTATTTATCAATAATATCTGCATGATAATACAATTTTTTTCTGTTTCCAAGTGGGTAGTTTTTAGTGTTTCTTTTTTTGTGTGTCAGGTAGATGACATCAAAAATTTTTAGCTGATGACATTGACTTGGCATTGTTGTCTGGATGTCTCTATACTGATTTGCCACACTTTTTAAAGCTTTTCTAACATTTTTTACTATTAATAATTGGAAATCCTTATGTTTTCAGTTGCTAAAGGAGGTCCTCAAGTGTGTGTGCAAGAAGTGAATTATCATGGTGACAAATTTGGAAACTGTGGTGGACGTTGTAATTACAGGTGGGTATTTAGGAAATTATACCTTTCCCGAATGCATATGTATGTGTTGTGTATGTACTACAGAGCACGCTCATTACAAATGGGAGATATGCCCATTATATACAGATGGATTTACATCTTGTCGTCCATAAGACAGTATACGTTCTGAATAGCTTTAGTGTTTATTATCTGAGTGGTATTTTGAATTATCCTCATATTTTGAATTGTTGTTTACCTAACACATTGTGTGCCTAGTGAAAAATGGATAATTTTTTGTACCTCATCGTTCCAGGCATATCTTTTGTGGAAAACTGGTTTGTCACTGGTCACATACAGAGATAGTACCAATCATTGACCATGATGTGCAATATACTTATATTGATGGCTATGTATGTGTGTCTGCATATTTAAGAAATACTTCAAAACGTGATGAGACCTATGTAAAATCTGGTGCTCTTTGTGAACCAGAGAAGGTAAATATAATTTTTATGTGAAACTATGTGTGGTAGATTTGTATGTGAGTGTCTGGAGACAGAGAGAGAGAGATAGAGAGAGAGAGATATTACCTTCTTTTAGCTATAAATTTTGATTACTCCAGCATGATCTTAAAATACAAAGATCACAATTTCTGTTGGTTAAAGGAACTCTTGCTTTATCTTATGATATTTTATTAGAAGTTTTACTATAGGTATTTAAACTTGTTTTTCACCACTAGAGAATCTAAGCCTCCTTGTTAGACCAGGGTCTGGTCTTCAAATAATTTGTGTGGACCAGGAACTAAAAGAATAAAATATACACCGAAAAATGTCAGAACAACCTGAATAATAAGGAACGTTTAATATAACAGAAAAAGAGCCAAGTATTTAGTTTCATAGCATTACTGCCCGCTGGCCCTGGCCAGTGAAGCCAACACACTGGGACAGCAGGGGCTGCAGTGGAGAGTAGTATTTTGCAAGGCGCCAGGCAAGGAGATGGAGTATTTCTGAAATTCATTTCTCCCAAGAATTTGAGAGAAAGAGTCGTTTTTTTTTTAGGCTTGATCAGCAAAGGGCAAGGAATTTGGTCTGCTGATTGATAGGGGATGATCTCACAGGCGTTGGGACGCACAGAAATTATCTTCTCAGTCTGAAGGGTTTCCTGTGTAGAGGGTTTCAGGGCTGTTGGCTCCGTTCTCATGCTGTCTACAGGTCTGGTTGGCATCTTTAGGTCTCCAGGATGGCAGAGTCTGAAAAACACCTCAAAGACCAGTCTTAAGATTTACAATAGCAATGTTTATCTATAGAATCTGAAGTCTTGGGGCATTTTCAACAGCAATGTTATCTATAGAATCTCAAGTCTTGGGATTTTCTGCAGCAGTGTTATCTATAGACGTGTGGTAGGAGTCACAAGTCTTGTGCCTGTCAGCGGAGGATAGTGCCATTAAGTGTAAGCCAATGACAGAGCAAGGAAGTTAGGGCACAATGGCTGGTTAACTCTTGGCTATATACTATATTTATTTTTTTAAAAATCAGACTTTGATAACTATTATACCTTGTGGCTCTACACTATTTTAATATGGACAGTTTGACCAGTCGTTGACAAAGAAGACTAATTGGTTAATAAAATGACTATCTTATTTGCTGATTAACCTACTCCGTATACTTTGTCAAAAGCACAAAGCATGGAAATCTTTTCCCCCTCTCTAATACCTTATCCTTTGTGTCTTATCCATTTAACTGTTCTTGAGTTACATCCTTTATAATAAACTGGTAAACATAAGTAAAGTGCTTCCCTGAGTTCTATAAACCCTTTCACAATTTATTGCCTTGTGGAGGGAGTGATGGAACCCCCAATTCATACCTGTCCGTGCAGAGTCTGGCTTACCTGTGACTTGCTATTGCATCTATGGTGTGATAGTCGTTAGAGTCTGAGCTTTTTAACTTGTGGGATGTGGTGTGACTTAGTCAGTTTTTGTTTTGCTATGAAGGATACCTGAGGCAGGGTAATTGAAAAAGGTTTTATGGGCATGGTTCCTTCAAACTGCACAAAAACATGACACCAGCATCTGCTTCTGGAGAGGCCTCATGCCCCTTCATTGATGGGAAGAGATGAGAGGAGCTGGTCTGTGCAGAGTTATGGGAACAGGAGGCGAAACGGTGAATGGGCCCCAGAATTTGTCAGGCGCAGAAGCTGTTGTCCCTGAGACCAGAACGCCTGATGAGAATGGCCAAGGGCTGTCAAAATAACTGTCACTCATGCTTGCCAGGCTTGCCCAGGAAAAATTCGGAATTCTGACTCGATAGCAGCCACCAAACAGCAGGAGTCTCTGCACAAAGTGGACCACCCCCAGCCAAGGTGGAGTAGAAGCTAGGAACAGCCCTCCAAGCAGAGGCAGATGCCAAACCAACGCAGAGATTGCTTAACCAACAGACACGGGCGCCTCACCCCTATCCAGAATCAATGTGCAAGTTTTTGCCTAAGCCAGGTTGTTCCTAAGGCACCAGGCATCTTGAACTCCCTGTCTCTGTGGAATGTATTACTTTTGCTCTCCCTAAAATGTATGACCCCAGCTTAAATAAGGGGGGGGAGGGGAGGAAAGAGAGGAGCGCTCTGCACTTCGCCTTTGTAGTTCTCCCAACATAACAAAATATTGCTTACATTTCTCTTATACTTACCCCCATAATCAAGAAATAGCTAATAATGAACATTCAGTAAATTCCTTCAGATATAAATAGATTCTCCTAAATCAATTGGTAAATTGATCCAATAATGATCACAGGAACTTAAAATGTTAAGCCATAAAGCATGAAAAACTGTCTCAGTTTTATTTTTATCTAACACTTTATTTTTCCCCCAAGAGAAGTGCTGAATGATGTCGGCAGGGGTATTAAACGTGGATCTGTACTCAACTACCTCAGGTATTCAGTAATACAATGAAAAGCAAAATTGTTCCTTTTTTTGAAAATTTTATATACTTTATAAAGATGAAAGTCCAACTGTTTTTTAAAGAATAATTTAAAATTTAGCACCTATCAGCTAACAGGCAAATAACTGAGAAAGAAGTTTACTTCTGGCGGCTGACACTTAAGCTAGAAAATTAATTTCAGGTTTTTTGAGGCTTTCAACACCGTTATTAGTTGAAAGATCAATTCTGTCCAAGGTATGGGAAGTCAGTGCCATATTTGGAGGCAGCGATTAAACCATTTATTCTTTTCTTTTTATAGTGGGAAAGTTTACAATGGCGTAAACAAGAGCGGGTGGCAGGAGATTTCGAAACAGTGGTGTTAGGATTTAGGAGATTTTCGGGTTTTTGTTTAGTTACATGGGACTGAAGGCATAAATGCTTGTGCTTTGGACTATCACTACCCCAAGAAAAAGGCAATCAGGTGGAAAGAGATGCAGATTTTAAACAGATTGGGAAAAAAGGCAAGTTCCAGCTTGTTCTTTTATTAAGGGATTTGCTTGTTGCAATACACTTTCGAACCAGATGGTTTCTTTCCACTTAAGAGGAAACTTCCGAAGCAACTTCTTTGAAGACCAAAACGGGGGAACAGGTCAGAAAAGAGGGTATGGACAGGTTTAAGGCCAACAACAGGGCTTGCATCTTCAACATTGCCGGCATTGTATGAGCCTTTACTAGCTTTTGGAAGATTTTAAAGCAATTGTAAAAGTCCACCCCCCAAAATATTACAAAATGTAGTAGGATTTCCTGTTGTAATCTGAAAGCCAGTTATTTTTGCAGTTAAGTTCAAAAGTAAAGGGAGGATAACATGAAAAAACGTTTGGAATATTAAATTTCAATGACTAGTGAAAAACATCTCCTTTGAGACTGAAATTGTTTGTCCATTCTTAACTTGATGGCAAAAGCCTCCGTTAATTACAATGTGGTGGGTAGTTGTGGGTGGTTCTCCAAGCTGGCTGTCTCTGAATTGTTTTGTTGTTGCAAATTTTAGTACGGATGGTTTCACATTATTAACACTGATCTGAAGGGGGGCATATTATAATAACTTCTTTTAAATTAGTTCACTCTTTTCATAATTCCAAGATTGAATTTTTTACAAACCATATAAATTAATTTTTATGAACCACCATATTTAGGGATTTGATTTTTTGATTTTCCGAAAAACCGCTTATTTTTTTAGTTTTATATTTTTGGCACTGGATTTGCTTTAGCAGTCATTTTCAATACAAATGAAATTGTTAAAAAAACATCACAGACTGGTTTCTGGTTGGAAATTCAGGTGATGAGTTTCGTTTTAAGGATGGTTCTTCCTCAATTATTTTGATTTTTTCAAATATTTGATTTTTAAAAAAAAAAGTTGGCATTATAATCTTTGCGTTTCATTGTTTGTTTCATTTTCACTTTAGGCCCTTTTAGTGTCGAAATCATTACTTTTCTTAAAAAGGCATTGTAATTTGGATTGCTAAGGGAAATATTCCTTATTGAGTTTTCTTGTACTATCAATAATGGGTCATTCCCCTGTTAATTTGCCAAAATGCAGCTTTCTTCCAATACCCTTGATTGGATAATTAAAAGTTTTCATTAAAAGAAAAAGTTATAAACTTAATTATACAGAATTCACAAGGTTCATTATAAAATAAATTTCGTTTCCAAACTTTAAGGCAAGGAGACATTAAACCATTTAAAGTGGAATAAAGAGTGCACATAGTTAAAAGAAAGAAAAAACGGCTCACCATTTAACAGAAAGACGGGACCTTCAATTTCCCCCAATAATTCAACTTACTTGATAAAGACAACTTGAGCATAGAAAATTATTCTTATAAGATAATTCGTTAGCCAGGTACCTAAACGAGAGGGAAAAACTTTTTCCACAATTTTTTAAAAGCAGAGGCGTAATACTACCAAGAGAAGTTGGTTGTTTTATGAACCTTAAATAAAATCATAAGACTTTCACCTGTCCCACTGCCACCCGGCTGAGAGTGGACCCTCCAGGGCCAAGGGGAAGTATCCTAAACTAATAATTGCCTGCCAACCAGGGACGGAGGTTCAGACTGCATTCCATGCCTTTTCCTTTCTTGGAAGATATCCTTTTGTAATTCATTTACAGGTCTAAGGCTTTATGGCCAACAACACTGCAGTCCTAGATTTACACAACAAATATTGTCCTGGTGCCTTGTCTTGATTAAAAGACCCTGTATCTTAAAACATCGCCAAGCTTAGACAAGGCTTTCTTGTCTTTAACAATTGAAAGTCGAACTTTAATCACCCATACCTTTGTAAGCCACTTCAAAGATGGCCCACCTTTTCAGACCGAACCATGCATGCTCTCCATGCATGATTTATGCGACTTACCTGTACCCTATCTCTCAATGTAAAAAGCATTGTAACCGCACAGCGAGTGCACTTATGTCAAGTTGCTCTTGGTGTGGCTCGATGCATGGTCTCAAATTTGCTCAGAATATAACCTCTTTAATATTTATTCGGTTTTTCTTTTTTTTTTTTGACAAGATTGGTGCCAAGACATAGAGCTCA